GTGCAGCCACCACATCTAAGAATTGATAAGCTGAAATATGATTTTTTTTTTTCTTTTCCTTGTCAGGTAGTTGGGCTGTGTAGTTTTATTGGTTGCCACCTGATATTCATCAACTGATTACTTACCATTCAGAAATGAGTCTGTTTTGTACCATTTTGAGAATCTGATGTTTTAATGTCTCTGCCTTTTATTTTTAGCCATATGGAGTGAAGATGTGTGTGGAGAAGTTTTGAAGCTTGCACAGTGTTGATTGGCAGATAACTTATTTTTTTGTGGTAAGTATTCTGGTGGTTAGTTTTCTCTTTTTGCACAAAAACTTTAGAGTGTATATACTGATCACTGACTGTGTCGAATGCATAACTGAAGCATAGTAAACTGTGTTTGCTATGCTTCAGTTTGTGAAAAAAAAAAAAAACCAGGAAGCTGCTCAGCACAGAGCTCTTCCCATTCATTTACTATCCAGTGCAGTTGAGGATGCAGAGAAGGGGACTGCAGAATCCCTATGTTCAGTCACTATCTCTGTCTCTGAAGTAAGGCATCGGGGTCTGATATTTCACCCCCCTCCCCCAACAGGGCTTGTAAAAATAATTTAAAAAATAAGAAAATAAAATCATACAAATAAACCACCGACACTGTTTGCTGCTAAAGTAGGCTAAGTTTATATTTTTTATAGTGACATTCTAATTGTTTTCTACGTTTTCCTTACTATTCAGTTAGACATTGCTAGTTAATATCTTTAAATAAAAAAAAAAAAACCCTGGCGATCTTTTGACCTTTTCAAGTTGTTCAGGTAGATCTCCACCCTTTCAAAGGTTGTCTACCCTTGGTCCAGAGAAACTTCATCATAATTTCTGTGCAACCTAACCAGTTGTTGTGACAATGGTTCAAAATTGAATGTTCTTAGGCTATATTCTCTTCTGGTCATAAGTTATGGGCAGTAGAAAAGATAAGTTCATTCATAATTTAATATAGTGAATCTGAAAAATACTGCATTGCGGCCATTGCAGCTGCGGATCATAGGAAATACTGTACATCTTGGTAGAAAGAGATGCAATGTAACCATTCTAGGATGCTAGAGGGAATCGACAAAGAAATGTAACCATTGCTACAATGGGATTCCTGTATATATGCTAAGGTCCCATTCACATGTTTGTGGTGTGGGAATCTGTGTGATATTGTGCATGAAAAAAATGCAGTTTTCTGACAGGTGTGCTGTCATGCCATGTTCATTTTCATAGTTGTGAAAGCTTGTGTGGGTTTTTTTTTTTTAAAATAATAAACATGTTATTCTTACCTGCTCTGTGCAATGGTATTTTGCACAGAGTGGCCCCAAACCTCCTCTTCTGGGGGTCTCCTGCCAGGGCTCTAGGCTCCTCTTCTTTGTGTGCCTTCATAGGAAGCTGCTTCCTACAGGGGTACACCTGTGGGCTTACTCCTGAGCCGGGCTGTGTGCGTCCATAGACACGCACACAGGGATGTCTGATTCCTATCGCCCGACTCCTGGGACATGTAGTTCCGGGAGCTGGGCAGGTTGTTTCTTTCTACCTTTAGCCCTGCTGCGGGCAAGCAGCAGGGGTCACCTGTCAGGTGAAGCAGTTGGCGGCAGCGCTGCCGCCAATTGCTTCACACTACCAGCCTCTCCACACTCCCGGCGTGAGGTCTCCCGGGCTCCGCTTGCCCATCTGCGGGCCCGGCTCGCCGTCGTCTAGAGGGGAGGGAGAAGAGTGGACAAGTCCTCTCCCCTCCCCTTCTTGTGCTGACCTGGAAGTGACATTACGATGTCACTTCCGGGTCCCCACTGAGAGATTTGTAATGCAATCCCCGAGAAAGACTGTAATATGGTGCGATGTGCACCACATTACATTCAGTGGAGCAGAGGGGAGACATGCAGGGTCTTTTAGACCTTGGATGTCTCAAAGAGAACTTGTCACCAAAAATCATCACATAGGGGACTTTGTTCCCTATGTGATGTAAAAAAAAAAAAAAAATAAATTTTTTTTTAATTGTAAAAAATTAAAGTTACACCCAAGCACATCATCTCCCCCAAAAAATATTGAGGTCCCCACATATACGCATGTACAAACATAAAAGCACACGCTGGGGCGCCTACGCATGGAATCGTCGATTGCGATACATGTTACATTTTGCCGCGCACGCCAGAATGAGAGTAGTAATTCTAGCACCGGACCTCCTCCGTAATGCTAAACGGATGACTTAAAGAGCTTTAAAAGTGTCACCTATAGAAAATATAGGGTACAGAAGTTCGTCGCCATTTAACGAGCGCGCACAAATTTAAGGTTTGACAAGCTGGATAGCTATTTACTCGATACAAACTCATCTTTTATATTATACAAAAAAATAAGGCTATTTATTTTTTTTTTTTGTGCCCTAAAATTAACTTACGGTACTTGTATTTTTTACTGAAATTTTGTGGTAATGTCATGTGACATAAAAAAATTGGAACTACCACTATTTTATGCTCTAGGGTCTCTGCTTTCAGAAAATATACAATGTTTGGGGGTTTTATGTAATCTTCAGGCCTAAAATAATTTTTTAGTGCAAAAAAAAAACAGCTCTGGCAGTAAAAGGGATAAAGTATAAGCCCTGACCCACCCTTTCCTGATGAGCAGCCAATTGGTGCTGATTACACTGCAAGGTCTCTCCCCTCCCTGCCAGTCCCCGAGTGCTGTGCTGGAGAGAGGCAGGGAGGGGAGGAGAAGATAAACAGCACAATGTTAAAAATATTAAACGTTTAAGTCGCCATAAAACACCTTTTTTTCTTTTAAAAGCCCCAGACATTCCTAAAAACCTTTGATTTAAATACGGTTTTGGTAAAATGTATTTTTTTTTTTTTTTTTTTATCTGGACAAGTAGATTGTCATGAGGTACAAGTAGATTGGGGCCTCAATTTAGTCCTGGACAAGTATTTTTAAACAAAATTTCCACACCTCTGCGCACAGCACGGTTTGACCCTTCTCCCTCCTTACAGGATTTGATTGACAGCAGCAGGAGCCAATGTCTATCACTGCTGCCTCTGTGTCTCTGTGAGGAGAGAGACCAGCACCTGCTGCAGGTGGGCAGAGTGATGAATCGAGAAAAGGGCTAAGGTAAGTATAACAGGGGGAGGGGGTGATAGAAAAACTGGATTTTTTTTTTTTTTTTTTTTTACAGTAATGCAGGGAATGCTGTGCCTTTAGAACCACTTTATTGCCACTGTAAATGTACCAGCCAATCCATGTGTACCATGCATTGTAATGCGATTTAAAGGTGCTTGCCCTTTTTTTTTTTTTTTTTTTTTTTCTTTTTGTGTAATTGTGTGCTCAAATGAATTGGCTGCCCTAAGTACGCAAAAACACATGCTTGCTGTTGCATCTGCATAGATGCGAACAAGCCCTGATTCCCTAAAATTGCCACATTGTATCTCTTCTTACCAACATGTATTAATTTCCTATGATTCTCCGCTCCATCTGTCATAATGCAGCATTTTCACAATTGGCTGTGTTTATAAAATAACCTATCTTTACTACTGTCCATAGTATTTTAAGGACATTCCACCAGAAGAGAAAGTTGTCTTAAAGTGGAGTTCCACCCTAAAGGGGAAGTTCCGTTTTAAAGATTGGTCTACTGATCCCCATTAAGGATTGGCACCTTTGGGAACGGGTACCTGAAATTGACAGGTACACGCTCCCACTTTCACTGCGATCGCCCCAGGCGATTGGAAGCGGAAGTTGTCCTCCTACCCTCCCTCCCCGTAGTCTTCTGGGACACGTAACAGGTCCCAGAAGACAACGTGGCCATTTAGGAAGCACAGCGCTCACAGCCGGATGCTCACTGAATATGCCGGGCGCCTGGAATACAGGATGGGCCGGTGAAACGGGCTGTGGCTGAGGCACCATGGGATTGTGGGACAGGTGAGTGGCTGTTTTTTTAAAAAGTCAGCAGCATCAGTTTTTGTAGCTGCTGATTTTTATCTTTTTTACAGAGTGAGTGGAACTCCACTTTAAGAACATATTGATTTTTGTCTCACTCTCAAACAGGACGAATGTACATGCAGGTTTGCTGGACAAATAGCTATGCATTTTGTTTTCTTAATTAATCTGTGTCTATAATGTGTTAACTTTAATATATAAAGATGCTACTTTGCATAAATAATTATGGAAAAATATTTTTATGAAGGTGTGTTCTGTATGCTCATTCAGTGTTTAAATTTGTGCCCCTTACAGGACCATGTTTGTCGTCATGCGGATGCACAGGTGTTGCATGCATCTCTGTGCCAGCAGTCCCATTGCTGTCTGCTGCACGGACACAGCCGCTGCTCCCAATGTGACATGTGTGGCTGCACATGCATGGATGTTACATTGGGAGCAGTGGTCCTGTCCATGCCATGCATGAGGCACAGATTAAAACGATCCATGTGAGCGAAGCCTAAAGTGTATGTTACCCCAACATCTCATATTTCTGATGTCTGTGCTACCATGTAGTTGTATTGAAAATGATTCTGTCTTCTTTGCATTGCTTCCTTAATCTGAAATACCTGGTGATCCTACCAGTCCCCTGCTTTATTTTAAACTGTCATACTGTCATGGAAGCACATGCATCCCAGTGCGGTCAGTTTTGCATTCTACTTGGGAGCACTGCCTGCCTATATGTCAGTGGTCAGATTTATTCTGACACAGCCCCCTGCGCAGCTCTTCATTGGGAAGATCAGTGTACTCCTGTTTCTCTGCCTCCTGCTGACACCCCAGTCCCACCCCCTTCTCATGATTCCTAGTACTTGGAAAGTTTGTGAAACCAAGGCTCCCAGCTATCTTTTCTAGCATTTTTTTTTTGTTAGTGTTGATCCAGCATTCAGAAAAAACAAGACTAGATTGGGGAATATGATTAAAGATTATCATATTGTCTATTGAAAGATCTTCCCTTATATGCCTAGCAAGAATTGTTGAGGTTTGCCTTCAATCTTTGTTCTAAAGAAAATCAAATTTTGTTTATACAGGCAGGTCATATGAAATCATGAATGAGAACAGTATGTTGGCACCTGCCGGGGGCAGGAGTCTCTTGGCCGATTCTTCTGTTTTTGACTCCAAAATCACAGAGACGTCAAAAGAAAATATTTTTTCTATTCCAACAGATGTTGATGGTAATGTATAGAACTTTTTCTTTCTGTTAGTGCAATAGTTGATTTGCGAGGGAAAGTTCCATTTTTTTTTTTTTTTTTTTTTTTTTCACCTAATCTAAAGGAAATTGTGCAGAGATTATACAACAATTGGATTGCATAGTGTCTGGCCATCTTTATACAAGTACATAAGAGGGAGTGGATGGAGACACTCAGCTGTCAGGCCCTGTTCACATAGCGGGAACTCATGTTCCCGTACATTTTTTTTTTTTCCTGGGCGTTTTGGGGCTTTTCTGCTTGTTGTGCACAGGGGAGCCCATGCATGACAATCGTCTCAAAGAAGCGTGGTAGTTTTTTACCATGCTTTTTGTGTTTTTCAGTGTGTTTCTGAAATGCACAGCAAAACAATATATTTTCTGTGTGGTTTGCCATGTGTTTGGAAACCTCCAAATACAAATGGAGCTTCATTGTTCATGTGTAAACACACCAATTTCACTTTCAGGCCCTATTCACACCTAGCCTTGTGGGAGCACAGGTTTTTTGGCTTGTTTTTCCTGTGACATGCCTAGGGCAGACTGTTGATTTCAATGGTAAAATATAAAGTGCAGCGCTAAAATGAGTAATCAATAAATAAGTAAAATGAAATAAAAGTTTGTTTAAAGGTTCTTGCAATCAATAAACTCCTATAAGGCACTAATAGAACACTTCCATAGTTGTCGATATCTCATAAAGGCTTGTGACAGAAATGCGCACTCACCGACCGCACATAGAAAATGCGCACGTAAACATCCATCAACCCAGGTGTGAAACAGCAGGTAGGTGATGAGGCATCTCTCAGGGAAAAGTTGTCATCAAAGCAATGGTCAGCTGAACTTGAAGTACTCCTTCAAGAGAGAGAGAGAGAGTGCGGGAGAGTGCGCCTGTTGGTCCGCTTCCTGACGGTATGGAGGCCGTGCTCAATGACCTGTTTGATGTGGAGGACCTGAAGAGGGGCTATTAAATCCTAAGCACAGCTTTACTACATTCAACATCCAGAGGAGGGAGCCCTGTATCCAGACAGTTCACTCATATCCTTAAAGGAGTCCTCTAAGTTCAGCTGACCATTGCTTGATGACAACTTTTCCCTGAGAGATGCCTCATCACCTACCTGCTGTTTCACACCTGGGTTGATGGATATTTACATGCGCATTTTCTGTGTGCAGTCGGTGAGTGCGCATTTCTGTAATTTCCTCTGTCACAAGCCTTTATGAGATATCGACAACTATGGAAGTGTTCTATTAGTGCCTTATGAGTTTATTGATTGCACGAACTTTTAAACAAACTTTTATTTAATTTCACTTATTTATTGATTACTCATTTTAGCTCTGCACTTTATATTTTACCATTTACAGGACGTGAGGTTATTGTGATTTCTTCAAGTGCTTTAGCTGCTACCACCTATTTCATTTTATGAGCGCTCGCTTTATTCCATTTTATTTGTTGATTTCAATGGGCTGCTCTACATGTGGCAAAGTTGGACATTTTTGGCATGTTGCAGGTTTTTTTTTTTTTCCCCCCAACTGTTCGTTTTGCTGCATGTGTCCTTTTTCTTCATGTGGCACAAATGTGTTGGCTTCAGTTTGGTGTGCTTTTAACAATTAATGCCACTGAAAGTGTAACTAGTTAATTTTAGGTGTATAAAGGTGGCCAAACGCTGTAAAGCTGTGAAAGTGAGCGGGCGGAAGTGCAGCTGCCCGACTGCTTCCACCTCACAGGCAGGAGTCTTCATGTCCGTTTTATACACAATCCTGGTGGCTCCAACGCTGTATTGTGTATAAAACCCCTGCTGTCAGGTCTGTACCACATACGGACCTGGTGGAGAGAGGGTTAAGCCAGGCGGTTTTATGCCAAAACATAACACTGGCTGTCTTTGTACACATTTATTTTTCTTTACATAGCTAGGTGAACAGTAATTGTACAGTTAGAATGTGTGTGGTGTTTTTTTTTTTTTTTTTTGTCTATGTAAGAATTTGGATATTTAGTCTTGCTCCCTATTTAAGCTTTAATTTGTTTTAACCTTAACTTTCTAATGTGGGGATTATTTTTAGTATCTGTCATGCCATTAAAATTGCTAGTGAGTGAACTTGAACTCCTGCCTTAGCTTCAAGTGGTTCTAAAGACTATTGAAAAAGGAAAAAAAAAACACACACATAATTTCCTGCTTTGTGCAATGGTTTTGCACAGAGCAGCTCTGATCCTCCTATTCTTGGGTTCCCCACTGGGTCTTCTGCCTCCTCCCCCTTGCTGAGTAACCCAAGAGCAGGTTGCTTGCTCTGGGGGCACTTGAACGTGCTTTCTCCCGAGCCACCTCCTAGGTCTATGGGAAACACTGCATGACTCAATCCCATGCGCCACTTCCTCCTCACTGACTGTCAGCCATTAAGGGGACAGAGACCCAGGAGAGCTGCTGCTCTTGTGCACATCACTGGATCGAGATCAGGCTCCGGTAAGTATTAGGGGAGGGGGGGCTGCGGGTGGAGCTGCGCACTGAGGATTTTTACTTTTGTGCTTAGAATGCATGAAGGTAAAAAACCTTTAGTCGTTTCAACCACTTTAAGTCTTTGCTCATTAGTAATGGCTTCTCTCCTGTACTGAAATTGCTGAAGATGATTTCACTGCCCACTGAACTTCGTATGGTGTGCATTAGAGGCTGCAGCAAGTCATATGTAGTCCACCATATTTCCTTGCTGGATGATGTCTAGCATTTAGTATCCTTTCCTCCGCATCCTTACTTCCTCAGGTCTGCACCTTTCATTTATTGGATTTCAGTTCCTTCGATCATGAAGGCTCCACATCGCATATGGATGTCAGCGAGAGAAGTCAGTATGTATGTATGTATGTATTGTGTATAGGTGAAGAAGGTATGGGTGTCACTCTGACTAGCCTCAAGTTCAGCCTTAAGAGGAGTGTTGGGATTTTTTTTTTTTTTTTAATCATACTTGCTTAGGTGGATGCAGCATCGATGCAGGCTGAGAACTGAGCGATCAAACACCGCTGATTGCTCATTTCTCCTTGCCGCTCTGAGCAGAGATCTGGGACTGGCAGGGGGTGGGAGCAGATGACTCAGGCTCTCAGCGCCTCTCAGGTGCTGGCCCAGGCACCTAAATTGATCCTTACCATATGGTTGCAATCTTTCCCCAGGCTGGACCAGGTCTGTGACGAGCTTTGGCTGTACTTCTTTTAAAAGTTTAAAATGGAGTACAAGTTGCTTTCACCATGTGCACTCTACTAACTTGGAGCAAACACAAGTATCCCATTGTTAAGGGGAGGAGCTGGAAGGACACCACTGATTTAAGCATTTTACTCTGTAACTTGTATTTAATGTGGTAAATTCTTTTAATGCAGAAGACATGCCCCAAATAGAAACAAGAGTGATTCTGGTACAAGATGCTGGAAAAAATGAAGCATTATTAAAAGCTCTTGAGGTATGCATTAAAATGCACTTATTCATGTTCTTGTATATTTACAAATGCATTGTTTTTAATTTTTTGCCTGACTCTTCCTTTCCACAGACAGTTAAGCTAATGGAAGTTCCCATTGTAAAGATAAGGGAAAATTGTCGAGAGAAATCCAGAGACTCATTTATAAAAAGTATTGTAATTATGGTATGGTGTTCTATTCATACCAACTTATCTTGCATGCACCACTTTACAACTGGCACTGCAAATCACACCACTAACCTTCTGTGGAACATTTTGATTTTTTTAACACATGTGCTGCTTGACCACTTATCCACTGGGGCTTATCCAATAATTGTAATGAGGAACTCTTGCTTCTTATTTTTGGTGAAGGATTTTTCTGTGATATCTTTGGTTTAGCACCAGTCACTGTATGTATTTAGTCTGGCTGTTTTTTGATTTTTTTTTTGTCTGTGTACTTATATCTGCTCATGGAGAGGATGTTTTCCCTATATAGAATAAAAATATGCTGCCCACTACACTACAGCAGTAGTTGGGCTGAATGATTGAAATTGTCTTGTGTTACGACCTTGTCACTTGGCCCATATAGGGCCAACCCATGAAATATGGCTATCTTCTTTTGTCCTTGAATGAATGTTCTCTGCTAGCAATGTTTGCCAGCAGGCTGACACCCTTGCTCATGGGTTTCAGTATTTGATGTTGAACTCATCTTTCTCCTCCTGGGCATACAAGCCTGTCCTCAGTGAATTTGTTCACACATGTAGACTAGCCCATAATGGTGCTATTATAAAAAAAAGGATTTTACTGATTAAAAATATTATTCATTGAACATGAGTTGTAAATACACTGATATTTTATTCCCCTTGTCCCATCAGGACTCTCTTCTATGCACTATACTGAACAGTTAATAGTTCTGGCTAAAATGGCAGTCATTTATTTTAATGTGTCATGAAAGAAAAACTTAAATTGTTTTCATTGCTGCTGTTGTGGTTATTGCTACTAATAAGTCAATAAGTGCAGTGCTAAAAAACTAAAAATTGTGTGTATCCATTTACGAAAATCGCTACAAAAGTTTCAGTATATAGATTCAATAGTGCAAAACATACATTGAAACGTACAAACCACACACCCTCCCCCTTTTCAGTGTCAGACAATCCGTGCTCTCCAAATAAATAAAATATGTATATATATTTTTATTTGTTGCACTGCAAATAAATACTGAACAAAAGTCCATCAAAGAAAAACATTTCTAATATGCGTCTGGTCCTTCAGAGTTGTGTTTCCAGTGCTCCACCCCATTAAAAAATGTATCTTCATGTGCAATCACACTTTTCTCTTGCCAAACACCACCTAGATATCCTTTGTGATAGTGGGCAACTGCTCACCTGGAGAGAAGATCCCCTTATGTACAGGAGGTCATCCTAGTACATAGGACACCCAAATGTTTAATATTCCTCCTCTACTTCCCCCTCTGGATTATAGGCTGTTATGTTCCAGCAAGTTATGCAGCTCTGGGAATCTTAAAGGTTAACTCTTCTCCTTCCACTTCACCAGCCATACTTGGAGAAACAAGGAAAGACCCAGTGCTCACTGTAACTTCTGTTTAATATAGGATACAAAAAATAGTACTTACATGGTACAGCAGAGCAGATCCGAAAAATGCACACAATGAATCTCGTATGCATGGAGGCAATGCACACAGCCCACGCTGCTGCAGACAGCTGACCAGGACAGCAAACCTCCATCAAGGGTTATAACCTCACCACCGAGACTCCATTTCTGAAAGTTTTTACAGATGTAACATGTACAGTAAGGTGGAGTCTCTGCTGATATCACGCTCAACAGAGATTTACTGTCCCAGTTAGCTTTCTGCAACAACATGGGTGGTGTGCATTACCTCCATGCATATGTTATTCATTGTGCGCAATTCTGCGTCCACTCTGTTGTACCATGTAAGTGCAATTGTGTTTATCCTGCAATAAACAATAGTTACAGTGAGCACTATGGGGGAGATTCACTGAAATTGGTGCAGTCAGAATTTGGTGCAGCTGTGCATGGTAGCCAATCCGCTTGTATCTTTAGCTTGTTCAATTGAGCTTTGGCAATACAACCTGGAAGCTGACTGGTTTCTGTGCAGAGCTGCACCGGATATTGCTTTCTCCAGTTTTAGGCTGGCCATACACTATACAATTTTCTGTCCAATTTCTGCCCAATTTCCTTTAGATTTACTTTCAACCAGGGTGGATTTGATTTAAATCAAACCGATTTAAATCACTAGTCCGGCTTGATTTAAATCATAGTTTTCTACATAAAGACTAATTCTTGCTGGTATAACTTTAATATGCAAGTAGATGAAGATTTTTAGAATAACAACTTTTCATATTAGTTTTTTTTAATCCCCAGTTTAATAGGTTAATCATTCATATTTGGACAACTTTTCTGTTGTACTTAGGAAGGAGAAAAAATAATCATTACCTTAATGAAAACAATAATATTACATTATGTTATTTGCTTAAACAAACATCCATGTTTGTTAACTAATTTGGCTAAACAAAATATATTTTAAGAAACTTAGGCTTGTCAGCCCCTTCCTCCTCACACTTAGTTTCACTTTCTTCTTGTGCAGATCTATTCCACTCCAAACAATCAGAAAAATATTGTTTCTTTTCTATTCACTGAACGTCTTGAAACTTCGCACTGAAGGGGTTGATTCTGTATTCATAGGTTTGTAGAAGTTAGGATTAAGGTCTTTTTCTTAACTCTGTTCATGTTATAACATTTTTGCTGTGAAGAAGAGGCATGTGATCTCCGCTGAGTCAAATTCAGTTTTAAGAACTGCAAAAGTAAACCAAGCATCTGTGATATCTTGTAGGCAGAGAAACTGCCCAATAATCTTACAAAAACCTCTGGAAGAGCATGACATTGTGAATGGATTAATGGAATTTATTTACCAAAAAAATTAAACATATACAGCCTTATTCTACATAGATAAAAAAACTAATCTTTCATGATGGAATAACCTTTTAATGGTAATATATTTTCCTCAAAAAGCATTTTATTTAAAAAAAAACTCTGATTTTAATAAAACCGATTTTAAATTTATTTTTTTTAAAAAATCATTGATTTTTATCCACCCTGCTTTCAACTATGTAGTGCAAGAGCCTGCCTAATTGGATACAATTGAAAGTGTTGTTAGGTTTGACTTCCTATTATATGGTTTTTGGTAAATCTAAACCAAAAATCTCAAGAAAATTGTATAGTGTATGGCTGGCCTAATAACCCCCTTTTGTTGAGTCTTTTCCTGGTTCTCGGAGTATGGTTGGTAGAGAAGTGGAAGGAGGAGAGTTAACCCTTCCAGTTCCCACAGCTGCATCACTTTCTGGAACATACTGTATAAGAGCCTATTATCCAAAGGGAGAAGCAGTGAAGGAATATTAACCATTTGAGTCTCCCTTGTGCTTGATGACCTTCTGTAATTAAGGGGGTCCTTCTCTCCAGGTGAGCAGACACCCACTATTACGGAGGATATTGAGGTGGTGTTTGGCAACAGAATTGTGTGATTGCACATTCAGATATATTCTTAATGGGGAGGAGCACTAATAATGCATATTATGAGTGGTGTTTGATGGACTTTCGAGTATTTATTTGAACTGTAAAATATGTGGTTGGAGAACACTGATTGTTGACTCAGAGAAGGATGAGGGAATGTGGTTTGTACATTATAATGTATGCCGAGTTTTGCATTGAGTCTATCTACTGAAACTCCTTTTTGTAGTGTTTTTTTCTTAAACGAATACAAACAATTTTTTAATTTTGTAGTTCTACACTTCTTCCCTTATTTCAGATTTGATGGGAAGCATTGTTCAAGTGCTGGTTTGCTGGTAGGTTGGGTCATACAGTGTGCAGAAGCTCTTCTTCTTTTTTTTTTTTTTTTTTTTTTTTATCCTTTTCACGAGTTTTACTTCTCATATCCTGATTATTATTATTTTTTTTTTTACCTATGTTTTCAAGTGCTGCCTTGAACCTCTTAATAGTGGCATAAAAGTGTTACTTGCCTGCAGGATTTAGGTTTTCAGTAGGTTACACTCTTTCCCTTTTTTTTTTTTTCTGTATATTAGCAGGTGAGTAAATTTTAGCCAGTCACATTTGTGTAGAAGCATGATAGCAAGACAGTAGTAATGTCACTCAGGTATTTAAAAAAAAAACAAACAAAATAAAAACATATGGTAGGATCAGAAATTCATACCAAGAAAGCCACAGTCCTATAAAGAGAAACCAGTGTGGGTGAGCTTATGCACATATGTTTTTTCAATATTTTATCATTTTGCTGTTTTCAGATCCCCTTGCTGATTAAAAAAAAAAAAAAATAGTACAACTAATAACTGTTTTTGTGAGCTTAGTCAATTAAGCGTTTTGTCTGAGGAAGATTCTCGGCTTCGGAAATTGGGTGTGAGGCCACCCAAAGTTTAAGTTCTGTCCTGCCAGCTGCCTGATCTCACAACATACTGGGGTCAATTCACTAAAGGATTTTGCATGTGTTATGAAAGTTATGTGACCCATTTTTCAGAAATATCACATGACAAAAATAAATCAATACATCAAAGTAACATATCAAATGTGAGGTAAATACAGCACATTTGTTAAACATATGAGCAATATGAGATAAATCCTTAAAGTCCCTCCCCTCCAATCAGCTCTCAGAGCTCTCCTCAAGGAGTGTAACCAGCTCTCTGCCCCCTGCTTTTCATAGCTGAGAAATACTGTGTACATTCTACACTTTGAACAGATGTAGCAGATTCTGCAGATAAACAGGTTCAACTTATGTAGGAGGATTTGTTTCATCTGTGTATCACCTGAGGCCATTCACCTCACTAGGTATATGTAAGGTTTTACAACCACTTTAACTCAAAAATTCATGTGGTATTTATCTCTTGGTGAATTAACCCCTATTGTCACCTTAGTGTGTGTAACTGTCACATATCAATCTGTAGTTCTCTAAAACTACAGAGGTCCATATTTGACGGTATGGTTTAAGAGCTGGGGACAACATGCAGCTGACTGAGCCACTAGACCTCTTAAAACAATGAAACCAAATTGATTATTAAATCGTTAAAGTGATAGTTTATTAAACATTAATGCATATATTTACACCGGCAAAAAAGGACCCCTTACCTCTGATACATAAGTGCTGCATAATTACTCTCTACAAACCAGAGTATACATAGTATTGAAGTTAATATCTGTAAGTTCTCTGTTGTAACCTATTGGGACAAATTTGGTACAATTGGCAGCAAGGCTGTGGGTAAATGTATTGGCATACAAGGGCATGCATTTGGTAGCATTTAACAGAAGCCTGATAAACAGAGGCACTAGCATTTTTAGGTGGTATAGTCATGTATCTACAGTAAGTGAGTCTTCAAAAAATATATTCACCAATGAAATCTGCCCTATTCCTTCCTTTTTACACCAACCATTTAGGAGCCTTTTTTGAACGTAGCTATTTAAAGTATGATAAATGCCATCTACTTTGTGGTGGGTTGTTTTAGTCTGTGACAGTGAGATATGTGGAACCAAAGTTATCACCTAAACCATATATAAGTAGTTTATGCTTTCAAATCTTTAACAATGTATAATCTATTATTGCAGAGGAATAGACTACCTTGGGGAGTATCTTTTGTTAGTTGTAATTGGTATTTTATAAGCAGTGTGGACATCCACAAAGGTTGAGTTCAAATGTCTAATAGTTTTAATATATTATAACAAGTACTTCAAGTCCCAGTGTACTAACAAGTTTATTTTTCCTTATGGAAATGCAGGAAATCAAACTCCAGCATGTCATAACTGAAGCAGTGGAAGAGTATGTGGAAGCTGATGCCCCAGAGTTCGAGAATGTGTTTGTCATCTCAGATTTTCAGCATCCTTCATTCCATTATCTGTATAAAGCTGACTGCAGAGTGGTTGGTCCACCCATCATCTTGTATTGTGCACAGAAAGGAGAGGTACAACTTGTTTATAAACTATATAGCTACTATATAAAGTTTACATGGCACTTGATGGTGTAACTTTCTGTCAAGCTTAGAAATAAAGGTGAAGTGATTGGCAGATTCTAGTTGGCATCACTTGGCCTAAAACCTATTATTCTGCAATGCCTAGAGGGCACTTCAGTGTGTAATTTGCAAATCTCACGCATCTGATTGCAGAATACCAGCATCCTGTCAATCTGTTGCACTGCAGACCCTGCTTTGTTGTGTTTTTTTGTTTTTTTTGGAATACCTTCTTGGTACATTTCTATGCTTATCCATAGCCGTTATTTGCAGTAACAGATGTGCTTTAAAACAGTTGTTACTTTAACCTATTTTTACCCCCCCTCTGCTAAAATGTATTTTCAGTACAGGCATACCTCAGTTTACGGATTTAATTCTTTCTGTGGGACTTTTCATATAGCGAAAAATTTGTAAACCGAAACGCCGTTTCCCATAGGAATACATTGAAAACCGATTAATCTGTTCCTGAGGTCAGAAAAAAGTAAACGTTACTAAAATACCGCATGAGTTATTTTATTTTATCAAGTCATGCGGTATTTTAGTAGTGACAGCCATGTGTTAATGTTTCAGCTGTCAGGGTTCCCCACTGACAGCTGAATGTAAATGAATTGCCGGCAATTAAAAAAAATTAAAAAAACAGCGTGGGGTCCCCCCTCACCATCCACACCAAGCCCTTCGGGTCTGGTATGGATTTTGAAAAAATTAAAAAACAAATGGCGTGGGGGCCCCCCCCCCCTTCCCACAATTTATACCAGACCCTTATCCGAGCATGCAGGTCAGCAAAGAGGGGGGAGGAGAGGAGAGACTAGCGAGCGCCCTCCTCCTGAACCATACCAGGCCATCCCCCCCCCTCCCCCCCCAAAGCACCTTGTCCCCATGTTGATGGGGATAAGGACCTCTTCCCCACAACCCTGGCTGGTGGTTGTGGGGGTTTGTGGGCAGGGGGCTTGTCGTAATCTGGAAGCCCCCTTTGACAAGATCCTGCCCTTCCCCCCCCCCCCCCCCCCCCCCCCCCCCCCCCCCCCCCCCCCCCCCCCCCCCCCCCCCCCCCCCCCCCCCCCACCCATATGTGAATGAGTATGGGTACATGGTCCCGATAGTCATTCACAAAAAGTGTAGTGTGAAAAAAGACAGGACACGGTCTTTGGCAAGTCCTTTATTAAAAGAAAAAAACTAAAAGAATGTATGTTCCCCGCAGCAGATCCAACGTCAATCACGATGCCAGCCGACGACCCGAAAAAAATAATTAAAAAAAGGCTCCACTTTCGACGATGGCTTCCAGCCGTCTGCCTGCTCCAGTGGTTTGACAGTTCTTAAATAGGTAAGGGGCAGGGCCACCTGGGAACATCATCCGAGTGACCCCGCCCCATGTGTCGTCATTGATGGGGTCACATGCCCCAAAGCACCCCCCCACGATGAGGGCATGTGGCCTGGTATGGTTCAGGAGGGGGTGGGCGCTCTTTCCCCCCCCCCCCCCCTCTTTCCTCACCTGCTGGGCTGCATGCTTGGATAAGGGTCTGGTATGGATTTGGGGGGGACCCCCACGGTTTGTTTTTTTTTTTTTTTTTTTTTTTTTTTTTTTTATTTTGGTGTGGGAGCTCCACTCAAGATCCATACCAGACTTGTAGGGTTTGGTATGGGTGGGAGGGGGATCCCACGCCATTAATTTATTATGGTGCCGCTTTTTAAATGTAATTACCGCTTTTTTTTTTTTTTTTTTTTTCCCCCACTATAGCTCAGAGATTCCGCGCTCACTTCCCCCTCAGCTAAAAGAGAGAGTTTCTTTCTAGTTTATTTCCCCAAGTTTAAAAGAAACAATGTTTCCTTTTAGCTTCTTAAAAGAAACAAAGCTTCCTTTAACTCCGGGGAAAGTGACCGCTCTGTGAGCTATAGTGAAGGAAAAAAAAAAGCTGGCAATTGCATTTAAAAATCAGCGCCGACATACACTTCATATTGCGAGAAAAATTTGTAAACAAATCGTAAACCAAGGCATTATTTTCAATGGATTTTCATTCCTAAATGAAAAATTACGTTAACTGAGGCGATTGTAAACCGAGGTACACCTGTACTTGTAAATTGCTCATCTGTGTTGCTGGGACCAACACTTCTGTTTCTGTTTTGTGGCATGTCATATGGCTATTGCTGTGGCATTGATCATATGTTCAGTGCCTAAAGAGAGGGACTTACTGAATAGCTTGCTGTGAACCCCTTTTCAGGAGAGGCTAAATGATTTGAAGCCTTTGCATCAGTCATGTAACATACCACTTGTGGGAAACACAGAAAAGGGTTAAACTTGTATCAATTAATTTGTCATGCCTTAATAAGGCAAAAATCCCCCCAAAATCCATTCCGGACCCTTATCCAATCATGCCTTAAACTGTGTGCTTTACACAAACATCCATCAGCTGGATGTGTTTTTCAATTTTAGCATTTTATAATTTATGACAAAGTGATATGCTGTGAGTGACCTAGACTTTGATTTCTTGGCATTTTTTTTTTGTCCCTAATCGTACATTACAGGGGAAGGGGGAACTTGGTTTTAGACTAATGGCATATCCAGCTACATTGAGGTGATTTGACACTGGCAAAGAAACTGTAAGGACAGCCAAACATAACCTCTCCTTTTGAAAGTAATCTTCTATGCTGGTCTGGCAGACCCTTTTGCTGCTATGCACCTCAATACCACCGAGACTTGCTGCATGATTGTGTGCTATTTTAGTCTCTTGGTATACAGTCAGTTGTCACAGGAAGGTGCTCTTCCACTCTCTCATTCCAGTTACAGGGCACAGCAATCTTTGGATGTTCTGGGCTCCCTCTGGCTACAGTGACCAGTCACAGAAGGCATAAGCTCTTCATGCTCCACAGTATAGGTTGGAAGTCCCTTTTTAAGGAAGTGTTTTTCCTCACTTCAGTGTTTTTTTTGGCATAGGAGGTACTGGTCAGCAGACCTTGCCAGCTTGCACTTGGCTAATTGCTCAGGGTATGTCTGAAGCAGTTCCCTCAATGGCTCTAAATCTGGTTTAATTGTCCTTATCACTGCCCCCATGAGTCCCTGCCATCCTCTGGGGCTTCCTTAATATCTTCTGGCATTCCATCTTCCTCTAGTCAATTTAGAGATGAATTCCCAACCACTGTCTGATTTTATAGGAAGTTTATCTGCCCTGTTAGAGTCTCAGATCTGTAGGCGCCATCTCTAATTCCCCCTTTTTGAGGCCTCTATTCTCCCTGAAGAGAAGGGGCTCCGCTCAGGGGGATATCCAGTCCACAAATGTCACCTCAGTTATAGGGTACCATCTTTCTCCTTATTGACATTATATTATGTATATTATTATACAGAATTTATATAGAGCCAACCATTTGCAAAGCTTTACAATATAAAAGGAAGGCAGTACAGTTACAATACAATAAAAAACAAGAGCATTAATAGGGCCTTGCTTATAAGAGCCTACAATCTAATAGGGTGGGGCAAATGGTACAAAAGGTTGTAACTGTGGGGGATGAGCTGATGTAAGTGATAAATGTTTATTTGGAGAATGACAGGTTTCCCTGAAGAGAAGAGTTCTCAAGGATTGCCTAAAGGCTGCCAGAATAGGGGATGGCTGGACAGATTGAGGTAGATGGTTCTAGAGGATGGGAAAGGCTCTGGCGAAGTTCTGGAGATGAGCATGGGAGGAAGAGACAAGGGAGCTTGAGATCATGGGAGGAGCAGAGAGGATGGTTTGGGCGATATTTGGAGACAAGATTGGTGATGTAGCTTGGGACAGAGTTCTGAAAAACATATGTTAGCATTTTGAATTTAATTTGCTGGACAATCGGAAGCCAGTGGAGGACTTGGCAGAGGGGCAACGGACACTGAGCGGTTGGTAAGATAAGTCTGGCAGCAGCATTCTCGATAGACTGAAGAGGGGATAGCATACGGAGAGGTAGGCCTACAAGAAGGGAGTTGCAATAGTCAAGGTGAGGGATAAGAATGGAGTGAATGAGTAGCTTGGTGGTTTCATTGGTTAAGCAGGAACAAATTTTAGAGATGTTCCAGAGGTGAAGTCTACAAACTTTTAACAGCGATTGCATTTGGGGCTGAAAAGATAGGTCAGAGTCCAGGATTGCACTTAGTACCCTGGCTTGAAGGGAGGGACTGATAGTTGCATTGTTGATCTTCATGGAAAAGTCATGGAGGAGGGTACGAGCAGGGGGGAATATTAGCTCTGTTTTATAGAGATTTAGTTTAAGGAAGTGGTTCTACATCCATGCTGATATGTCGGTTAATAATGTGAGAGGAGACTGAAGGAGTGAGGTGAGGAGTATTGGGTGTCATCGGCATAGACATGGTATTGGAAGCCATGGGAGGTTATCAGGTGACCAAAAGAGGAGGTGTAGATAGAGAAGAGAAGGGGCCAAGAACAGCCTTGGGGGACCCCTACAGAAAGAGAGTAAGTGGAGAGGAAGAGACAGAGTTATGTGCAACACTGAAGGAGGAGAACCAGGATAGAGCAGAGTCTTGGAAGCCAAGGCAATGGAGCTTATTGAGGAGTGGGTGGTCAACTGTATCAAAGGCTCCAGAGAGGTCTAGTAGTAACCATTAGCTTTAGCAGTATTGTCCATTTTAGTTGGGCAGTTTCAGTGGAGTGCTGTGAGCGAAAGCCAGACTCTAAGGGGTCAAGAAGGTTATTTGAATGAACAGGGAACACTTGGTGTACAACAGTCTTAGCTCCTACCTCACTGTACTCTTACAGCCTGTCTTGTGCAGTGACTGGCCTCCTCTTTGCTCAGCAATACCCTACTGAAGAGGGATAAATGTAAAGTCTCTGTCATAGACAGGCTATAGCAGACACATTGTCAAATTTCCAGGGTGAATC